ATTTACAGAGAGGAGTTCCGGCATTGAAGGGGAGAACCCAGATTTGAGCCATGGAGAAGAAGGAGCAGAAGCCATGATCGATGAATTGAAGGAAGAAAAACGGAGAATTTTAGAGAGAGAGTGGAGAATTTGAAAGTGTAGAGAGAGAGAGAGAGAGATGGGAATTTGCAGAGGAAAGTGAGAGTATGAGGGAGAAGGGAGAAGACAGGGGAATTATATATATATAAAGGGTAAGGGCAAAATGGTCAAAGTGAAAAATTGTTGGGGAAAACCACGTGTAGGATCAGAAAACAAAGTGAGACTGTTAAAATTGAAATACCTAACGTCACTCCAAAAAAGGTGGGACATTATGCCCTTTCTTATTCTCTCTCTCTAAAACTCCAAAATTCTATTTGCTCGTGAATTATTATGTTTTATGTTCAATTTTTTTCTTTTTCTTTTTTTCCTATTACAAAGAAGCTTCCTCTCGAGAGAGATGGTAAGTTTTGTAAATTTGACCAACACTCGTGTTTGATAGATTTATGTTCGATTTGAAGGTTTCTAATGGATTTTTGAGCTTTTTATCTTTTACTGTCTAATAGAGGTTCATGTTGTTATGTTAACTTTTTTGATTTAACATTGATGTATTGTATTATATTGCTGGTATTATTTAAGTGCTACATAGTGAGTTGGTTTAGAGTAGGTTCAAGATCTCAACGACCTGTTAGAAATCACTACCAGGAAAAGGATTTTTCTCCACGTTTTTGTTTCCAACGTAGAAAAAAACATCGGGAACAATCACTGCTCTCGATGCATATAAAAAGGTAGGGAAAAGTCAACTTATCCCGATATTTTATGAAATCCGTTGGGAAAACTCAACTTATCCAAACATTTTATGAAAATGGTCGAAAAAAGTTTCTCCGTCCTCGATAAAAACGTCGGAGAAGATTAAACTTTGGAAAACTATTGTTAGAATCTATGTAAATGAGTTAAATTTACTTTGGGTTGAGTGGTTGTTTATTCATCATTAACATGATAGATTATTTTTCGTTGAGAGGACTCATTCACAACGTTTTTTTTAGCGTCAAGAAAAGTCCTTTTTTCTTTTAGTGAACTTTTTGAATATTATCTCTCTCGCGGCTCTGATGAAAAACACTCTCTAAGTGCTTCCCACCAAGATTAGTTTTTTGACATTTTTTTTCCCTCGAAGTATTCGTTGATTCTTTCAAAACCTAATAAATTTGAAGGGGAAGTACCAAAAGCACTACCACACACATTGAATTCCAATATTTCAAAATTGATAAAGTTTGATTTCTAAATTGGTGTAAGAGTGGGTAATTGAAAGATAATTTCAGCACTTTTGGAAACATAACGGTAATAGAAAATGTGGAAGAATGACTATTTAGTTCATTGTTCACATTGCTGACAAGTGGCATGATGTAAGCCGCCATAGAAAATAAAATGTAGTAATAATAAACTAACAAAGATGATAAAAAGATGTTAATCCAATGTCCCTATTTTCAATATTGTTTTCTTTGTCATAATTCTCATTATACATATTTAATCATAATATTTTAACATTTCGTCAAAACTACTTATTAGTTTTAATTTTTATGGGCTTTGGATTAATTAAATTTATACCTCTATTTTGAGTCTCTGCTAATTTGATAATTTTAAATTACATATAATAGCTTAGACTTTTCAAACATGTTAACCAAAACTTCCTTAAGATCAAAATCAAGTAAAAATAATTAAGAAAAAAAGAAAATAGTGGTTCCAAAAGTAATATTAACAATTTTTTTAGTTGAAGAACTATAATGGTGAGAATTTTATAAATTCGTTTATCCATGTTAAAAAGTTTAAAGATAGGAAACTTAGACGTGGACGATTGATGTTATTAAACGAGAAGGTAATAATATTTACATGTATCCACTAAAATTTTTTGACTTCGACTTGGTATTAAATAAATCACATTTAAATTTTCTATACATTCTAAACGTTAAAAATAAAAAATAAAAATAGAAAAAACTTAAGATGATTGGATATATTTACCTCCTGAAAACTGGGATCAATTTATCCATTGCAAAATGATATTCTTAATTAATTAGCTCCCATATTCCAACCATGCACAATCAAGCATCCCTCCAAACAAGCAGCTCTCTAATCATTTATGAGTAATTTAGTGAGTCAAGTATAAAAACAAACCAATCTACATCTCTCTATTATTGTCTCATATTTTTTTTTTATTAATTTCACTCACATGATCTACTCTATTTCTCAATCCCAAATTCATAACTTTTTTTTACCAAAAGAATATAGGGTGGAATTAAAGCATGTCCTGACCCATCTCGCTTAGCTCGAACCTCATATCAGACAAGTCGAGTACGAGACGGGTCAAGCTAAGTCATCTTAGACTGACTCTGCAAAATCCCAACTAGAAACCAGCCTGGAAACACAGATGCCACTAGTGTAAAATTCGTTGAACACCAAGTACCGAAACACTCCAATAGTTGGGGCAACGTTTTTCAATGTCTAGAATCTCTGCATCACCAAACATACGGGAAAAAGAAATACTTCTCAAATCTTCTATTCCATCTTAAATAGAATTTTAACATAAATATAATATAATATAAGACAGATATAAATAAACAAGGTATATAAGGATAACATGAAATCTTCTTTTAATTTTTTTATAATTGTGATAATTGATTAAAATAAAACAAAACAAAACCCAATTTTTGACTCGGTCTAAATACCAAGAGAAAAAACAAAACAAAAAAAAGAAAAAAAAAGAGGAGAGAGAGAGAGAGAATGAACCTTAAAAAGAAGAGAGAGAGAGGAACGTGGTTTGTTGGTATTGGTCCGTTATAATGCGGTTGGTTACGACGCGGAAGAGGTTATTGGTCGCCGTTGTGCACGTTTACGTCTCTCTATAATCTATTTATTTATTAGAAACAAAATAAAACAATTTAAAGAAAAGAAAAAAAAAAACCCGCGTTATGGCCTCTATTAGAGTGTGAGAAACCGCACGCGTGGCAGTTGGTGGTTGGCGGTGACTGTTCCACTAAAAAGGTGAGAAATGTGTCACCGTCATACCAAAAAGGGTACCGGAGAACTCTCTAAAATATCCCACGCGCTTCCCTGCCGTCAGTCAATCCTTCTCCATTTGGTTCTTCATCTTTTAAATTTCTCCATTTTATCTCTATTAAAAATTTTCTACTGTTTCGTGGTTTAAATGCTACTTGACGAATGAAATAAAGTTGTCCATCATCGGAATCCCAAAATAATATTTTTTAATATATTAACATTTAAATTGATAGCACTAAAAAAAATGTTTTAATTTCCATCAATACACATAATCCACGATGATTTAATAATTCCACAAAAAAAACACACACACATATATTTCAACAAATAAAAGCAAGCTCTAATATTGTATTTCTCTAGATTGTATCAATTTTGTATCAAATAAATGTTTTATAATTCTTTAAATGCATATGAGAATTTTTCTTTCAATGATTTTTATGTATGAAAATCTATCCAAAAGGTAAAAATTGTAACACTCTTTAAGTTTAAGGTAAAGATTACAATACTTTTTCAAGTTCAAGGTGAAAGTTTAGGGTAAAGATCAAGTTCAAAATTGGGTTTTTCTATAAACATAATTTAAGTCAGTTTTTACTCCATCATCCCTAAAATAGTCAACTAAATATAAACAACGAAATAAAAAAATA